TAACTATTACTATTAATAGGAAAATAATGAATACAAGTAAGAACTGAAGTATACATGAATATATGTTACAAATAGTGAAAAGATACATGATTGGGGGGTAATGTCAAGAAATTAGGATCTGTTTTAATCACTCAGAGACTTAAGATCAAACCCAAGAGATGCTGGTGAACACAGAAATATTGCTGGCTACTACATATTGCATTTTATAGAACTGAAGATTAGAAAATGTCAAGTTAGGGGTAGGGGGCCTCTTAGCCTTAGCTCATCAGCAGAATGTGGCTAGAACCCTGCCTGAGATAGGGATTACACAGAACTCTGTGGCTCTGTGCTTGATCAGGGCTAGACATAAGTCTGCCAGTCAATGTGCGGCTATGTGTCTCCTGAAACAAAACAAAACACGCCCCCTACACTTGACAGCCTAAAAGTGTTGATTATTTGTGTTACCCAACAATTCACACAAAGCTTCCTCTAAATAGGAAAACCCTTCTTCTGTTCAAGGGATAATTACCTCACTAGAGAAGAACAGAGAAGAAACTGAAACTAAAGAATTACATACTTTTGCCAAATGAAGCAGAAAACAGTTTTTCAAAATGAAACATTTCCAGGAATAACTTTTTGCCACCATGTATGTAGGAGGATAGAAAACAGAAAAAAAAAATTCCGTTGCAATTATACATTGAAGACAAAGAAATAAAAACAAGCACACAACCAAACTTTGAGTGTGAGACATTTGGCCTAGGGCTTGCAGAGCAGCGTCTAGCTACCTGAGCTAGCAAGTAAACTGTGCTGTGATTACTGACACTCAGGGGCCAGCCATGTGCTTCTAGGATTTCCGGCTTCCCAAGACGGCACAACATAAGGCTCTGAGACGCCAGCAGGGCCTGGGCCCTGTCATTCTGCCTGGTGGGCCTCAGCTTCAGGAACGTCAGAATGATCACAGAGAGTAGACCCAGGGGAAACTTGGTCTTTCACTAGGGGCTTTGCCTGGAATCTGCCTCAGTGAGAGCAGAGGGGTGAAGAGTTCTGGTACTCAGGGCCTCGGCAGTGACTGGTCTGCGTAGCATTTTGATTCAGTGTAATTAACTGAGGCTTGCCTGCCTGCCACTGTGAAGTCAGGCAGATGGTGTGTGTGTCTCAGAAGGATTCTGCCGTGGTGTGCCACAGAAACTAAAATATTGTCTGCTTATCCCCTCTGCACTATGTCGTCATCACTGGCTCAGTGGGGTGGCTCTCTGAGCAGAAATTCGAATTCAAAATGTAGCATAAAACTGTCTTTGACAGTGGGAAACCAAAGCCTCATGTAGATTCCTTTCTGAGTTGTTCTGTTCATATATTTAAACCCAAAATTTAAGAATTAGAGTTCAAGGACTTTACACTTGTGGTTTATACGAGTGTAAAAATACCAGTTCTTTCGGCATTTGTGGAGCCCCCTTGAGCACTGCAATGCAGTTCTTTAGAGAAGGTTTTGTGTACTCAATTACTGACTCACTTCTTATTTTGCTCACTTGAAGTCAGAAATGAATCATTGTCAAAGGGTTATGGAGGGTTGAGGGGTGAAAGCAGCGGACAGGAAATGGGAGTCCTGACTGGGGCCCCTAAAAGAGCCTTGTATTTCCAACAAAGCTATCCTTTTCACAGATGACGGTTGACTTCAAGGAAGTAGTTGGATATCCAGAACTGCAGGTAATTTGGATGCCTCAAAAATGTCCCCGAAGTAACTGTGAAGGCGTTCCTTCATCTCTTAAATGTCCTTCTCAAGCATAATTTAGTCACTCAGAACTGAGCTAAAAAGCAAAATGCATAAGCTGCAGAACATTATGAAGACTGTTAATTACATGAAGAAACATGCTAGACGACAGTTGAAGATGTGGGAAAAACAGATGGAGGAATATCTTTAGAGTACCTCTTTAGCTCAGATTTGGTCAGATTGTTCTCCGAGAGCGCCACCTTGTGGAACATACCAGAATACAGCAACAAGAAAACCCTACACAAATCTTAGGGCGCTGTGCATTTTAATAGACTTCTGCCCCAACCAAACCAAACCAACTCCAAAATTAACTTCCATTCTCACCATTTTAATTTGGAATTGTTGTGATAGTATTTCTGCAAGCTCTTGAGAATAAGGAACCTTATTCTTAGGTGGCTATTTTCTTGGGGGCCAGAGAACCAGATGACAGAGATGTGGATATAACTTGCTGAAAACCCTAGCAGAAACATCTGGAAAAGGCAATTTGGTATTTCATTGGAAAAATTCAAAAAAGCAAACTGAGGAAAACAGTTAAAAATTGAACTTGGGTGGTGGTGGTACACAGAGGCAGGTGGATCTCTGTGATTTCAAGGCCATCCTGGTCTACAGAGCTAGTTCCAGGACAGCCAGGGCTACACAAAGAAATGCTGTTTTGAAAAACAAATGAACAAAAGAACAACAACAACTAAATTAAACCCCTCTCTTTTAGAAGACAGTAGGGCGAAACAATAATTTTGGCTTATTTCCTTAAACACACACACACACACACACACACACACCAAAACCAAAAGTCAAACCAAATTATATATGCTTGAGGTGTGCAAACCAGCACTTGGAAGAGACAGGAGGCTGTAGGCAGCAGGCCCGCCTGGCTTGCATAAGCCCCTCCACATAAAGAGAGCTGGTAGAAGATGAAGCACTGTGTTCTCATGCATTTGAGGAACCACAACTACTAATCATTCCAGGACTTACACCTTGCACCAGGTTTTGGTAGCATAAGGCTCTTCCATTGTGGAGAATGAACACAGAACACCTCCCTAACTATATAGTCAGATGCAAGGATGCACATGATAAAGGATTTTTGGATGAGGCTTGTAAGTTGTCTATTCTCGCCGGCAAAGGAGGTAAATGCCACTCAAACTCTCATTTTTATAGTGAATACTCCTAGGCATGTATATACAGTAAGTACAGCTTCAGATGGCAGTGATACCAGTGATTCTGTGGATCTCCACGAAATTTGTGGTTTTCTGACAAGTCTGTCAGTGTTAGATGACGTCAAAATTTTTCCTTAGAATATACTTAAAGGCAAATGTGTCTCATCCAAAAAATGTATGTAAGTTTGAAAACACATTTTGAATATCCTGTGCTTGTTCCCACTATTTGGTAATTTTTAAAGGTATTAAAAAGCATACGATATCTTTATTTTCATGTTACAACGTAAAGCATACATTCTTCGGCAGGCTATCAATATGTGTTCACACAGGTAGCCACAGTGGTATGGAGACTTAATGCTATTCTTACTGGACCCAGTTGTGCAAGAAAAGTGTGCTTTCCAAAAATAGGAGTCACCTGGCACTTACCAAAAATAGTCAGTTGGGTGTGGTGGCACACGCCTTTAGTTCCCGGAAATCAGGAGGCAGAGGCAAGCGGAGCTACTTGAGTTCGAGGCCAGCCTGGTCTATAAAGTGAATTCTAGGACAGCTATGGCTACATAGAGAAACCCTGCCAGGGCACAGGGCAGATGCCAAGTTCTCTCCAGAAGATCAGTTCTTTGGACAGAAGACTTAGTACAACTATGATGTTAGAAAGTTTACATGATTTAACTCCCACAAGGAGAATGGCTGTAACTGACTTTAGTAGGCACAGCTTTTAAGAGAAGTGGCTATGGTTACTTAAAAAAACAATTTCAAGACATCCTTTAAAGTTCAAACTGTTTGGTACTATTGACTTTCTCAAACAAGCTGGCTAACATTGAACCCCAGAGCCAACTGCACACCTTCCGGTTTAAAGGTAAGTACTGTGTTTGAGAGAGCAACACCCAGAGTGTAACCCAGAATTTTCATTTTCACTAAAAATGACCAAGTGGAGACTCAATTTTTAAGTGAGGACTTCTGAGCTGTTTTTAGTAGATCACCTGGGGCTAAATTCAAACCTGTTATTCCTTGAGTGGGTCCTGAGAGGAAATCGTGAGAAGCTGGGGGCAGAAACGGTCCCAAGCTAATTAAACAGTTTCTCTGCTGCTTGAGCGCCCATCTTCTTCAAAGAGGGGCAAAGTGGGAGGCTGCAGCCCACTGGGTGCTCACAGACTGTGTTTCTAAGGGTGGGTGTGGCAGTTAGGCCACAAGATAGCTTGTGAGCCTATGGGGACTACTTGGAAAATTGCCCTTTTTGCTTCTGAAGAGGATGTTACAACTCCATCAGTCCCACAATGCTAGGACCCTTGGAACCAAACCCTGTAGAGAAGCGAATAGGCACACTCTCGCACTATTCCTACTGTAAATTCAAACCTGTTTTGCCTAACTAAAATTTGTTTCAGCAGAATCCTGGGGCAGTAGGATCTTCCCAGTGACAAAGGTGTGTGAAGCCATCGGCCACAGACGGAGAGCCCTACTGTTTTTTTTTTTTTTTTTTTTTTTTTTTTTGTTTTTTTGTAAGGGGTTTTTTTTTTGTTTTTGTGTGTTTGCTCTTTTTTTAAAAAATGGGATGGGGCTGTGGGATTAAAGGCATGCTCCACCAACGCCCGGCTGAGCCCTACTCTTTATGCTTCCATGTGCTGCCAAGGGCCTGAACGCCACGGCTCCTTGGATGGAAACTGGGTTTCAGAAGTGGGAGCCCGATGGAGAGACATACATCCAGAGAACAACTGTATGAACTAAGAGCCAGGACAGTGATACGAAGTCCAGAGAGGCTGGATGCCCTTTCTGCACCGCCCAGGCACAATATACCAAGTTTCTAATACCAAAATGCTTGTGATTTAAAAATACTACTTAAAGCAGGATGGTGGTGGTGCAAGCCTTTAGTCCCAGCACTCAGGAGGCAGAAGCACAAAGAGCTCTAAGAATTCGAGGACAGCCTGGTCTACATAATGAGTTCCAGGACAGCCAGAGCTACAGAGAGAAACCCTGTCTCAAAACTCTCAAAAAATCCCCCTCAAAAGAAAAATAAACAGCAAAAAACAGCCAAAATAACAAAAATAAAACAAAGACCCCCCAAAAGACCTACTTAGAAAAAAGCCCAAAACAGATGACAATAATGAAATTGAACTTCATTATTCTGAAGAATATCAAAAGATTCCAGTTTAAGACAGATGTATTTTCCTTGAACCAAGTTATGGGGGAGGAAGGAACACCTTTTTCTTTTTCAAAAGCAAAGCCCTCAAAACTGTTTTTCATTTTATCACATGGATGCTAATCCAAAATGGAGTAGGCTAGGCCATGATGAAGTGAGTTTTATGTCCGATTTCTAAGCGCTAGCAAAAGCCTGAATTTTGAACCTTATTGAAAGGCAAGGCAGAACTCACTGTCCTGGTGAGACCTATGGGAGACTTTGTCTGCTGCTCTGAGCCTTACTGCCACCTTTGACAGCGCTGACAACATGGCCAGTGCTGTAATGATGGAAGTGAACAACAGAACATTCTCATGGCCTAGCTTTCTTTTTAAATCTTGCTTTTGAAAAAAAAAATCCTGTTTCTCAAGATACTGAATCAGAAGACTGTAAAAAATGTATTTAAAACAAACAAACAAACAAACAAACAAACAAAAGAATGACTCCCAACCCCCAAAGCTCTGGGAAGGGCATCTTCCTCTCCTCTATTCAAGATAATCACATGTATTATTCAGCTGCAAAGACTTCAGTAAAGCTTCAGAATACATAAACACTATCTGAAACCTGTCTTACTGTGTGAAGCATCATCCATTCTTTTCAAGTTCTACACTGAAACATGATCTAGCTTCTACTTACATGCGCTCCAAACAAACACGGTTCAAAACACAGCTAACCTTCCCCGAGGCTGCTTTCTAAGCCTTCTAATTGCTACTGCACTAAACCCAAGGATAGGGCAAAAGTGGCATGGACTATAAAGGACTGATAGAGGACGCAAGGTACAGTTGTTTATAATGCCCGAGCCAGGCTGGCTCTGCAGAAAGCGGGCACTAGAAAAAGAACACCCTGGGGATGGAGAGCACAATCCCTTTAGAGGGCATTTATCTCTAAAAAGGAGGAAAAGACATTCACCCCCCCCCACACACACATTAACAATATACTCTATAAAAATGTAAAACACTAAGTGATAGCTGACAGCAATCTATATGCTGGTGACACACAGAACCAGTATTCTACACTGCCTATGTGACCTCAGTGATGTCAGGCAGGAAGACCATACTAAGAAAGTGTAGGGGACCCTGTTAGGATTGCAGAATTGGAGCCATAAGCCGTAAACAAGGCCATCTGCAAAGCATTCAGTGAGAGACAGAGTCAGCAGGCAGGCAGGTGTGGTATGTGGGGCAGGTAGGAAACCTGCCATTCGTTAGGCAATGGGAGGAATATGCATTAGAGGTGCTGGCAATGGAGAAGGCGGGCACCCTAAAAACAAAGCAGAACATGGCAAATGCACGGAGGAAAGTACGGGGTAGTAGGTGGAGAGAACTAAATGGAATTCCTGTCTCTAGTCAGAACCATCTCCAAATCAGAGCAGGAAGCAAACCCCTAAAACAAAGAACAAAATAACAAGAAACACAAAGGAAATAGTAACATTTCAAACCAGAAAATCTAGGCTTTCTCTATCTTCAAAACCTATTTGAGGTACACTCCCTAAATCTATGACAAGTACTAAAATGCTAATAGGGCCTTTCCCAACAAACAATTAAGTATTGTACTATATATATATATAGGACTCAGAAGAAGTAAATTCAGCTTTCCAAAGAGCAAACAGAAGAATGCATGCTTACAGAAGTTCTCTTAAAAGATACTAGGGCGTTTCCTCCCCTTTTCTTTCTTATTTTTTTTTATTATTATTTTTTTTTGTGTGGTGTCTAAACTGTATCGTTTACTGCTAGCAAATGCTTTTGGAAGAAAGGAAATGCTAAGAACATAGGCTCACCTTTCTAACTGGAGCAGACTACACTGGTGAATCACCTTCACTGAACAAGCCCTTGTTCCTTAGTCTTTACAATTCAGTTATTCCTGTTGTCTACAAAAAGTAACACTTCACGAGATCAGGGATCTCTCTCACACACTCACAAGTACCCAAGCAGGCCCAGCAGCTGCAGAGATTACATCCTAACCCGACTGGGCCTGGATGACCATCCAACATTGGCAGCATTCAAGGTTAGAAAAGGAAATGGCAGCACAATCGGTCAGCAGCTTCTCTTCTTCTGGAAGTTTTCCAGGTTCTTGAAACACACAGACAGACAAACAAGTAAACGAACATAAAGCTGCAATCACTCTTGCATTGATTTCTCAACAGTAAACTAGGTGGTTTCCTTGGTGAAGCAGAGCGCATCTGGAAGCCAGCAGCTGGAAAGCCCACAGCCAGCAATCTTCAACTGCTCTGCAAGGCTCTCGTAGGGGTCTTGTCAGCCACCATGTTTAGATGACCAGCTCATGGCATCCCTGGGGAACCTCAGGCTGTGTTCAGCTCTGAGGTGCTCTGGCTGGATGACAGGTGGGAGTGCAGGCTGTCTTTGTACCTCTCCAGGTCCTGAAAGTATGGGTGACTCAGGGCGCCATAGGCAGATATTCTTTTAGCTGGATTAAACGTCAAGCATTTCTGCAATAAAGAAAACATTTCATCGGAAACATATCAAGGTAAATAATGGGCTTGTATATCGGACCATGGGGGGAGTCTTGGAAAAGGTGACCTCTAAATTTTCTGCTCTCCTTTAGGAACAAAGTCACCAGCATGAGAATGAACTAAAACACTGTGAACAATAAATGCTGCTTCTGTTAAGAAGATTTAATTTGACTGCCAAATGACTGACTTAAAAATTACCTTGTAGAATCACAACTTTTCCGAGGGTTGAATACTTTGGTGGCCTGGGAGAAACATCCTTATCATTATTCAAGATGAGCTTGGCCATTAGCTGACCTAGGCCTTCAGGGATGTCAGTGTTTCTTCTGGGTGCAACTATCTGCTTCCATGAGAAAACCATGGCAGGAACCTGCTGCCTCTTTGGCTTGGGTGGCAGAATGAGATAGATACATAGAAAAGAGCAGGTAACAAGGACTCTTAACTCAGGAAGTTAAGAAAAGACTTCTTACTGACAGGCTGTGACCACAAAAAGGCGGGCCTTCTGTGTTTCCCAAGGGCAGAACAGTATACACAACATCAATAATTAAGAGTTTGAGAGTACAAAAGGGCTTATTTTATTCTTTTTTAAAAAACCTTCATTTTAAGCATGTGTGTGTGTGTGTGTCTGTGTGTGAGAATGTGCACAGAGTGGAGGCCAAAAGAGAGCTTCACTAGAGTTGGAGTTATAAAAGCTGTCTGATATGGGTGCTGGGAACTGGACCTGGGTCCTCTGGAAAAGCTGTGCATATTCTTAAGAACTGAGACATCTCTCCAGCACCAGAATCTCATTTTTCCGTGGGCTATTTTATATGGGCATGGCACACTAAATGCTTATTAAATAAACCAGTAACTAGAAGTATTGTCGCTTTGGGGAAAACATTCGCATAGATGTGACTCTCAAGTTGCTTCATGTAGCGTGGGACTTTAAACAAGGGCACATATTTGCTTGTCAAGAAGCCTATGCCCAAGGAATCCAGAGCCTTATAATGCTGCATCCATATACACATTCAAAACATGGTGTTAAGAGATGGAGTAGAAAAGACATTCCAGAATCAAAAACCCCCTGCTGGAAAACAAAATCCACAGGAAGACTACAGCCTCCATACCAGGTGCTTGTGGTGCTGTTTGTCATACAGTCTCAATGGGCACAGGCCAACTGTATCCCGGGAACTTACCAGAAGTAGATCTTTGCCTAGTTCGTCAATATCTGTCACGAACTTCTCGATGGGTTGGGCAGATTTGGCATGAAAAGCCTGCCTGGGAAGGGCCACATCCCTGGGCCAGTCTTCTTCTCCCGGAAGTCCAATCACACTACAGAAGAACCAGATGTGAGTGTGAACACTGACAGTCATGCAAAGGGCTTCCTCACCAAATCCCAGAGCAGGCCAACTTCACAGGGCAGGCACAGTGGACAGCAGCTCCACGAGAGCCTCACCTTGTGACGGAAAGGATTTCTCATCTACGCTCCCGCCAATCTCAGAAGACACTACAAAGTTCACTGACAAGAAGCATGCAACATCCCTGGCTGGCATCAGACCCTAACGGAAGGTGTGTGGATGGGACCTGTGTAGCCAGGCGTTTAAGTCCTGGTGTGGTTACAAGGCAGGCCCTGTCGTTCTGAGACAGCCACCTAGATCTCCAGTGTTCTCTTCTATGCCTGACGAAGCTTTATGTTTGGATGGAACAGCTCTGTGAAGACGTGCTGTCATGGTGCCCATCCAGTATGCTTACTAATGCATTACTTTGGCCAAGTTTTTAAATTAAGGAGTAATTTTCTAAACAATCACATAAATTAGACTCAAAACATAAGGTTAAAAAGTATATCGGTCCTATGTTATGTAAGCAACATTCAGTGGTTTTCCAAAGTGAGACCCACTCAATGACAAGGGTATCAATTAGGTTTCCGTTGACAACTGTTCTGGGATTAGAAATGCGGAGGGACTAGCAAGCCGTAAGAAAAGCCCAGGCAGATGTGGCTTCGAATTCAGCACCTGCTCTTAACTGGCATGTAAGGACAAATTACATGACAACCATGAGCTCTGGTGTCTTTATGCATACAACAGTGGTAATTTACCGTTATACGAGGGTTGGCAGTAATTTATTGAAACTGCATACAGAGCCTGGCACACAGTATATGCAGCCAATATCCAGTTGTTACTTATTATTGGTAGGCTGGTGGCCCCATATAATTTATTCACACATAGTATTACTTCTAGTTTATAGGTGGTAAGTGTATTTGGACAGTATACAGACTCTGAGTAACTCTGAACTAAAAAGCAAAAGCATAATTTAGTGGACAGGGAATATAGTTGCTGATACTGATCTGAACTACTTTGACTCTAGTTAGAAATGGTGCTGGCTTGCATCAAAGTCCCGTTCTTACTTCCTTCAGCACAGGACCAGAAGGTGTGGCTACAAACATCTTTCAAGGAGACAGGTGGTAAATGTCACAGGATCTAACGGGATTTTGTTCCCTTAGAGGTCACAGCCCTCCCTGGGAAGGGCAGATTTCCCATCACCAGTGCACATACCACCAGGTAGGGAGACAAGACACTAATCCTGTCCCCTCTAGGACTGGCAGACAGCCACATAAATGCAGACTCGTGGACACATTGGAATCAATGGGCAAAATCACAACTTGAGCACTGTCCAAGTGTGTTCAATAGCAGGGGCTACAGTGTGAGTAACAAAGGGGTAAAAGCATCACTGTGTGGCAGGGGAGGAAAAGAATACTCATTATACAGTCTGACACTTGTATCTCTTCCCAGCCCGTTCATGTCAGGACTTTTATACATCATCGTCAGTTACCTAGAGATGGATTATAGTGATGCTTAGAATTTAAATTACTTTAATGGCAGCATTTTTAAAATATAGTGTTTCACTGTGCAGCCCAGGCTGGTCTCAAACTCACAATCCTCCTGTCTCAGCCTCCGGAGTATTATTAGCAGCTTTGAATTATTAGCACCTATAGATTTGAAATCTTATGAATACAGCAGTCAGAAACCAAAAACTTTCAGAGAAACCCTATGTCTGTCTTTATGATATGTAAATACATTTAACTACACATAAGGCATGTATACATATGCATACATGATACATATATGAGAATGCCTGGTGAGGTCACACACTCAGGCCTCCTTACTCCATATCCGGTATTGTACTTCTATTTAGCTAGGCTACTGTGCTTAGAAGATGCTCTAAATGTGTGGCCTAACACCACTGTCTTACTTCTGAAACACTCCATGTTCTCTGAAAATAGAAATCTGTCTACAGCTTACCTTATTAAGAGTATGAGAACACAACTTTCCTTAAAAAAGAAAAAAAAAATCAGCTTTGGGTCCAATAAGGACTGTCATGGCCCATAATGATCGTGATGAAATTGTGACAAATTCACTACAAAAGGTTTGTGTCGCATTTCACTGTTTGGACAGCTGAAAGAGGCTGTGAAAGCTGACATTTACACTGGAAGACTGAAATGGTTGTGGTGGATGGGTTAGAAGAAATTCCTCACGTAGCTCAGCAGTGACACTAGGGTGCAGCATTGTCCCTTTTCCGTTGAAAGGACCGTTCAGAACAATGAAGCAAAACCAGAAACCAAGAAGTAAAATCTAAAGGCATAAAACATACAAGGCTTCGAGGCTGCTTTTCTGTTAGCCCCGTGGGAGAGCCAGGCCTTGGCCAAAAGTCGACTAGGCTTTCCCACAGGACAAGCCAAATGTCCCTTTTGGCCTAGTGCACTGGGTCTGTGGTCTAAGAGTACAGGCAGTGCTACAGGTCTGTAGGCTGCTCTGGGGGTGGCCAGGAATCCCAGGAGGAGTAAGAAAGGGAGGGAAGGTGACGACCTCCAGGGCCCAGCCGCGCGGCGGATACCCCAAGACTGCGTTTTCTTTCAAAGGGGAATACTAGAATGTTTACTTTCCTGGGTCCCCCCTGAAGATTGCAGGCACACAGAACACATTCCACAATCCCAGGGAAAGACACAAATCTAGCAGGGAACGGGAGGAGCCTGCCATGCAAATGCAGGGTAATAAAAGGACTTGGTGGAGAATGCGTCCATTTTACAGGATTGTCAGGAGATGAGGTACTGGTGGATGCCCAGGACCTGGGAAGTCCCCAGACAAGACTAGACCAGACCAAAACAACAATAACAAAGTAAACTACCCAACACAAATCAAAGACAGCAAGTGTTCTTTCAGCTTCAAAGCAGGAACAGCTTCCAAGTCCCCAAAACTGAGTCATTAGCTTTGGGGTGAATTCCATGTTTGAAGCAATCACACTTAAATATAGGGGCATTGTTTTGTTGTTGTTGTTGTTGTTTTTGGTGTGTGTGTGTGTGTGTGGTCTTATAGATTTGAAACCCATAAAAACCACTTGAGATCCACAAAAATGTCACCAGCCAATGATAGTGGTGACTTTTAGCCAGGACCCCTTCACGCTTTCCATCCCACCTCACTTGGGGTGGGACTCGGCAAAAGCACACTTCCAAAAAGGATGCCACCCAGCATGCCTCTCGGGAAAAAGGCTCCAGTTACATTCTAGTGACATGAGAGCATGCTAGACATGAGCACAACCTCACAAGCACAAACATGTAGGCACGAATGAAGTTTGCAAATCATCCCAGAGCGATGGGGAGAACGACCGGAAGCAAACAAGCGAGTTGGAGAACAGACTGCACGGAGAACCTGAAGTCGTTCCATCTCTCAGGTGAAAAACTTAAAGGAAAAAGGGTTAAATCAGCAACCAGGAGCTGGGCATGGTGCAGTAAACCCACTGTAGGGTGCTTCATGCAACTTCTCACTTACACAGCTGTGCAGCCACGGGCCGAGATGACAACCTAGGAGTCTCATTCCCTATTTTGGTGCTCTGAGGGAAAATGCGACCGAGTAGCATTTTTGTCCTTGGCTTGGGAATGCAATGCAAAACCAACAAGAATGATCAAGGACTCTCAATGAGAACAGGATGCCTCGCTGGGCAGGCTGGGATCCTAAGCCACCAAGTGTCCCGTCTCTTATGAGAGGCAAATTTGATGTGACCACAAGCAGACAATCGTCTGCCCTACGGAGCCGGCACTGAGAGCTCAGCCAAGCAAGGAGAAGCAGCAGAGACCCACCCAGGCAATACACAGCATTCAGAGCACAGCAGGCTACAGGTCACGACCGGCCCTGTCCCCACTCACCACAGCAATTGTAAGACTGCAGCAGCAGCCTGAGGCAAGAAAGATAAGAGAGAGAGACAAGAACATCAGAGGAGAGTCACTGCGAATGTTTCGTGTAAGGTAAGACCATCAGTACTACTTACTCCAAGATTTTTCCTAGTTGATCCACGTCTGAACTTCCACGAAACAGAGGCCTAGAAGAACAAAGACACATCTTAAAAGCAGGCATTTCCTGAAGTCACAGCCCAATCACTGGCATTATCACTGTTGAGCAGAAAGCAGAATCCTTCACTGGTGGGAGGAAGAAGTGTGACTGTCTCTCTCTGGTCAAGGAAGGCTTTCCATGCATTTCTCTTGCAGCAGGGACACTCTTGGTGGCTGTTGACTTTCATAACCATGTGTTCTGCTTGCTGCCATCGCAACCACAAAGCTACCACGGTCTACAGGCCCAGGTTTTAAAGGTCAGTTTAACTGGCCAGAGGGTGGAGCCCATCTTGGTCGGAGCTTCCACTAAAGGGGTGAGGGGGTCCGGGGCTGTCCTTTGACACCACACCACTTGGGTACTTCTTTCTGGGCCTCTCTCCTATTTGTCCTGGATCCTGTAGCACGCCTCTGCTGGATCTCTTTTCTTAATTATGCCACTTTCCTTTCTCTGACTTTTATAGCTGCTAACTAACCATCACATGTTCAAAAATACTTAGCACTGGGCTTCAGAGGCAAATGTGTCCCCTTCTGAACTCAAAGCCTTCCTTATCTACAGCAACCATTTCACTGGCAATGAAATAAGCTCTCTTTGTGACATTTCTGGTGTTTTCCCAAGTAGACCAAATAGTCCTTTGAGGGTGGGGACGTCTCTAGGTTTCCCCATAAGCCTTGTCCTAATACTTTTCTCTAACTGACACACACTTATTGATATTTTTTGTTGTTGTTTATGCCCATAGCACACAAATAAATTTTCCTCAACGCCTTGTTCATTGAATGGCATAAACAGCTACTTTTTCCCTGTTAATTTTTTTTGTTTATTTTTGAGTCAGAGTCTTATTTCAAAACCCACTCTGGCCTGGAATTCATTACTCGAGGTAGCCTCAAGCTCATCATCCTGATTCAGCTTCTCTAGTGTTAAGTTACTACCACTGGCTCTATTAATATCAACCTATTAAAAATATTTGTAGGTTATTACCAAGAACTGTATCCCTTATATTAGACAACAAATTAACAAGTTATAGTTAGTGTGTGAGTGACAGTGCGTGCGTGCGTGCGTGCGTGTGTGTGTGTGTGTGTGTGTGTGTGTGTGTGTGGTTGTCTGGCTACAAACTCAGGGCCACACATGGAGAAAATGAGCATTCTAGTACTGAGGCAGCTACATTCCCAGCCTTTGCACAAGTCTCAAAAATAGAAAAGCAAAAAGTGAAAAAGTACCATAAAACTAAAAACAAATAAACAAAAAACCCTAAAGAAAAAACAACCCGGAAAATTCTGGACTCTTAGCAGCTATCTTCTATAGGGTGTGAATGTTGTATCTAGCACATATCCAAGTGTTCCCTAAACAGGGCATCATTAGTTTTCACAAAAACTCCAGGAGCAATGAAGTATTACCATCACCACTATAGATGAGGGAACATGACCAACAGTCGATACATGACACGACAATCAATGCTCTGCAGCTGAAGTCACTGGGGAGAAGCAGTATGGGACTCTGGGAAGGGGTACTGCAGAGTCCTAGTATTTCACAAGCTAGTACTGTGGGGATCCTGTAACCAGATTGTTTTCTGAACGTCTATGAGCCTGTAAATGGTGTTCTACTTCAACAAGGAACAAAGTAACCCCCCAGCTTAATGGTGCTGTGTCCTGTGCACACTCACTCACGGGTGGGTGCTACCGTCTGAGTGTGGGTGTCGGGCATACGATGAAGAGGTGGGGCTTTGGGTGGGGGCTCTGTCTCTATGCATGGGGTTGGATATTTAAGGAGTGGAAAGATGTGCCCTGACCCTTCTGCTTTGTGAGGAGGCAGTGAGAAGCCGTCACCAGACACAGGACCCACCGGCATCTTCATTTTAGGCTTCTCAGCTTAAAGAACCACACACAATAAACTTCGGTTGTTTACAAAATACTACGCAGTCTAAGGGGTCATTTACAGTTATCTAATAGACTGAGACTGATCCTTTTGGACCCTTAAGTCTCTGCTCCCAGGCCCAATCTTTTTGCTCATACCAAATTTTTATCTTCCAAAGTACCGAATATATATATTTTAGAAGCAATTATTTTCCCTTTCTTTTCACTCAGATGTTTGCTTAATATCAGAGTAAATGATGAAAACTATAAAAGCAAAGTCAAAATGACATTCTGAGATGTAGGAATATATAACTGAGCCTCCCTACTATTAAACATGTTGGGAAAGGCTTTAGGGCCAGGAGACCAGGTTAGCCAAGTTTACACACAGAGGAAGGAGTATCGGCTGACCAGGCGAGCTGACTATATATTTATGTAACCGTGCAAGCTGTGTGACCTCTCATAAACGTGGTGAGAAATTACTTTTGAGTATCACAGAATGGCTTAACATCAATACTCTGGCCACAGCTATTGAGAAACAAACAACTAGGCTATCTTGAATAGATGCTTCTCCTAGGCAAAGGCCTAAACCTGTCTCTTGTTCTGGGGTATGTGTCTTAGTATATCCATGCAGCTAGAATATCGATAAACCAGAGGAGGGTCACAGAAACAACGGAAATGGATTTCTCTCAATTTGAGAGGATGGGAAGGAAAGAGGCGAGGAGGACCCACTTTCTGCTTTGTAAAATGGCATGGCTGCCTTCTTGCTTCCTTGAGACCCAGTGGAAAGAGAAGGCACCTCTCTGACCTGTCTTAGTGTGAGGGCTCCAGCGGCCTACTCTGAAGTTAAGATGTTTTCAGCACTCAGGTTTTGGGGACAGGGGTTCAGCACTTGTCATGGAAATGCAGCCCCATATTCAGCTATGCCAGGGGCTCAAGGCCTTACCACCTGGGTTTTTGACTCTCTTCTATCCTGGCAAAGTTTTCCACGACATCTTTGAACAGATGCCCATTACACCGCTGGGTGTTCCAGCAGAGGAGGCCCAGGCCCATCTATTCTGTTATTGGTTTTATCTCTACTTATTGGCTGGACTTGGGCTACAGGATGGAACGTGCTCTGCCATGTTTGAATCAGCTCTTGGGCTTTAGGTACAGCCTTTGTTCTAGGAACACTCAGATGATGTCCTTTGTGGAGAATGAGATCTCTCTGATGCCGCAATTCAGGGTATAGGTCAGAGTGTCACCGACCTGGGGAAACCTGGTGTGCGACTCTGAGCTGGGTCACTTTGCTTTGCAACAGTTATGGTTTGGCTTGAGTTACACAGAGCCACTGAGCTGTGGCTGTATGCAGGAAAATGTAAGCTGCCAATACACAGATACATAGACAAAAGACAATGAAAATGGGTCACATGGTAGAGGGAAGAGGCTAACTATAAATGTGTTGAAAAATTTAGAGCAATCTGATTTCTAGAAGAAAATTCTGAACAACTCATATGAGCTGGTTTAAGTCTACAGGGGGTGATTTGTAGAATCAGGAGAATGGCGGAGTGCAATGAATCAAGCACAAGAATAAATACTTTCATCACAGGCTGGAGAGATGGCTCAGTGGTTAAGAGCACCGGCTGCTCTTCCAGAGGACCTGGGTTCAATTCCCAGCACCCACATGACAGCTCACAATTCTCTGTAACTCCAGTTCCAGGGGATCCGACACCCTCACACAAACACACATGCAGGCCAGACACCAATGCACACAAAATAAAAATCTTACACACACACACACACACACACACACACACACACACACACACACACACACAGGGGTCACCATGTAGGAGAGCTACAGAGAATTTGGGACTCGATCTGTGTTTGATGTTCTTAAATCTACAATGATCTCATTTACGTTGAATCAACCAGATGAGCATCAAACAGGTCTTTTGATTAAAGTCAACTGACGGGTGCTTCTTCTTCACTTTCATCATTCTGCTTGCTCTCTCCCAAGAGTCAGGAGAATTCTTACTACTGTATATCTGCAATGCTCAAGAGAACAGTCATGACCTAAGACCCCTTAGTTGTTGCAGTGGACCTATTCTTTCAGATTGTGCTAACTTGCACCGTAGTAACAATACATCCCTCCAATCATGTCTCACCTGCATGCCAACATGAAGCTCCCAACACTGGTAATTTAACATGGCTGTGACAGCTTCTCCCTGACCCCAGTGTGGCCTTTCCCCGGTTCATTCAGTCATGACTTGATCTGCATGGACGACTCATTCACCGCTCAGCTCACACAGAATGGGACCAATCTTTATTCTTTTCAATTCCACACAGAAACAAGCTGCTGGAAACACCCTTGCCATCTCTCAAAGAAAGGAACACATCTGTTTCCTGAACAATAGCATAACTAAAGGTAAAGTAACAGAAAGGTAATTTGAAAAAAATCCCTTTTTCAGTATACTGTCAAATAAAGGAAACAAAGATAAATGACAGTTTCTGCTAGTCAAAAATTGTGTTACTATTCATCAGCCCTGTGGACCCCTCACCTTTGTGCATATGTGTGTATAATCTACCTTATAGACATTTCTTGAGATGACTTCAGCATTTTTTTTTAGTTTTGAGCATGCATTTACATATATATTTATGTGTACATATATATACACATATATATTACTCTCTTCTTGATGAGGTACTGATGTGAAAATTTCAAGAGCAAGACTTAGTCACCAATGGGTGCTCAGTAAATACAGAAGGGAGGAATGTGTATTTAAAACAATAAACACCACATACTGGTAAAGTGGAAAGTGTAACTCCAGAAAACAGCCCACAGTCATTGCCTAAGCTGTGTGTGGCCAAGGAGATGGCTTGCTGGGTAGGGCTAGTTATATAAGCAGGATGAGGACCAGAGTTCAAATCCCCAGAATCCATGAGAACCCTGGTCTGGTGGTGTGCGAAGGTAATTCCATGGGATCCTGTGCTCCAATGCTGAGATGTGAAGCAGAGAAGGAGACTCCCCTAAAATCTGTGGGTCACAAGTCTATGTAGGCATCAGTGAACAACACAGACCCGGTCTTCAAAAAGGTGGGAAGGCAAGAACCAATACTCAAGTTACCCTCTGACCTCCCCGCAGGTACTCACCCACCCCTGACAC